ATTGCACTGGCACTTTACATTATCTATATGCTTTAGTAATTAGATTAGAATTTATTTTTCATTATAGCTCACTCATAAGAAAACCAAAAAGAAATAATTCTCAAACCCTTTTAATGCGAATCCTTACAAATTATTTCTAGATACTAATGATGGTAAAAGATTTTTAGTTAAATTGGCCTTAACAAGTTTTAACGTTTCTGGAGTACTTCTCTGCAAGTGGACAAGGATTCTCAAAAATCTTATCTTTTGAATGTTTCCTAAAAAATACAGGCATTGAAACCTCTATAAAGTACTCCTATTTATTTGTTTTACTCAATGGAATATTTCCTATTGTTCTTAGTGGGATTGCTTGGTTTGTTTGGAATGTAGCTAAAGCATTAAAAATTTTGGATAAAAACAATTATTTTTCCAATTTCAAGACCTCAATCATTCTTTTTGCATATCTTTGTTATCCAATTATTACTTAGAATAGTTTCTCTTTATTTAGCTGTGTTAGTTTAGATGATGGAAATCAATACCTCAGATCCGACATGAGCATTTAATGCTGGACTGATGAACACAATAAAATATCAATGGCTATTGCTATTCCATTTATATTTCTATGGTCTATATGCTTTCCAATATTTATATCACTTCAGTTATTGAGATACAAAAGTAATCTATCAGATGAAAATATTATCAAATAGTATGGACTTTTCTATAGCGGTCTGTAAGACAATAACTTTTATTGGGAATTAACTTATGTCAATGGTAAAAAATTGCTTTTTATTTCATTTTCATCGGTTCTCTCATCGTTTAATCCAAAATTAAGAGTAAAATATTGATTATATTTGAAAAATAATTTTAGGCTCTTGTTGGGATATTCATACTATTTGTGGAAATTTAAATGTCTTATAATAGAAATCCATATATTGATCCCTAAATGAATAATATTGATCGCTAAAGCATTTATGCATCAGTAAGTTAATTTAAAATACTTTAATAAAATCAATCTTTAATAGATCTCAATTTTGATTGGAGGAGTTTTATTTATAGATAGTAATACAGATTTGAGTGAAAATTTTTAAGTTACAATATTTGCATTGATACTTGCTACTAATATTT